GTTTTGATTGTAATTTCTTTTAATGAGCAAGAGATTAATATTAGTAGCTGGTATATCTTCTTTTCAACTACCTAAAAAAATGGGAAGTGTGAAAAACAGAAAATTTACATAAAAAGCAAGTTTTAAAGGCCAGTTCATATATGAAGATGTGTTCATTCTTGTTAGGAATTTGTGAAATCGGAGTTAAAATAATGAGATAACCTTTCATAAATGCAACTAGGATTCATACACTGCAGTGAGAGTATAAATTGTTATAGGTAACTTGGGAAAGTAATGTGGCTGTGTATAGAAAAGATTAGTGTATTGTTTCTTTCCTTTGAATCCACTTGAGAGAGCTATGTATCAAAGTTTTGTAACCCATTGGCTGGTAGCACTGTAGCACTGCACTGTCCTCCAGTTGTTCATCGGTTTGCTCAAGCGGGCCCAGTAACGTCTCCATTGTGAGACTTGTTGTTACTGTGTTTGGCATATCGAATACGTCACAGGGAGCTTGCCAGGCTTTGCTGTGCGGGTGAGATGCTCTCGGTAGCTTGCAGGGCTCTCTGAGAGGGCAGAGGATTTGAACCTGGCTCAGCAAGGCAAACGCCCTACCACTGTGCTATTATTGCTTCAGCCCACTAGCAGGTAGTGAAATAAATTTAAGAAACAATGATTAACACCCCCCCTTTTATTGATGTGTGTTAGTTCCCATTATTGAATAATCAACACCCCCTCCTTTTTTTCCCAAATGATGTAAACTAGAACAGATTGACTAGAATGGAAAATACCCAGAGGGCAAGTATTGTTCAATGAAGTAATTACATGACCATTTATACATTCCTTTGTTCTGGATCACCAGGTGTTAAAAAAGAAAGAAAAATAAAACCAGTGCCCCAGAGAAATTCTCATACAAATAATAGAGTCAAACATTTAGATACTCTGTAGTAGGTAAAGTGAATCAACTAGAGATTTCTGTATTAACATCTGTAAATCTCATAAACATGGTGCTAGGGTGTGGAGGAATTGATGGTATTACAATATCTGTAAATCTTTATTTTCTGATAGTATCATTTGACATAGTAAAAATGTGGAAGCATGTCTATGAAAGACAGGGAATAAATCCTGTGAGCAGGACTGGGGTCATCAGGGCGGAGTAGGAAGCAAGTCCTTCTGTTGCTTTCTTGCTTATTCATTAACTGGGGATCCTGCCACGTAGTGATCAGCGGTCATCAGGACCATGCTTGGTAGTGTTTGGGGGATCTGACCTGGAGCCTCGAGCATGCTAGCCCTCTAGTCACCGAGCTGTGTGCCTGGCTCTTGGGGTTGCTGTGGAGGGTTGAGAGTAATTAATTGAACCTGAGGTGCTGCATTGTACTCTGTTGCTTCATCCGTATTTCCAGACTTTTGTGTAGAATACCCGGAAGAAGCAGTCCTGCAGAGCATTTGGATTAACTTGACTGTTACAGTGCATTTATGATCTGCTTGCTGTAGCTTCGGGAGGAGTCATCGCCCTCTCCAGGGTCAGGCTCCAGGGTCATGCTCCACCCTCCAGGGTGAGGTGGGGTGAGTGAGCTGACTCAGAAACTTCTGCCCTTAGGAGAAACACACTAAAGAACTGCCAGAGATTTATTTTTTCCTTTTCTAACTCAATTCATTCTACTTCTGTCAGTATTTCTTTCATTCCTCTTTGCCCAGAGATTGGGAGTGGGGGCTGATGGAGGTGGGGGCGGGGGGAGAGGCAGTTTCCTTTTTTAACTGCAGTTGAAGTTTTCTTTGTTTTCTTCCTATATGAATGAATTCTGTGATTGTTGATTCTCAGCCTCCCCCGAGGTCTGCCAACAATAGTAGGCTTCCTTTCAAGAATGATTTTGGATTTTCAGCATTTTGCCCCACAGTTAAGGAATTGATTCCATCTCAACTGTTTGTAAGATATTTGAGTAAGTGTAGACATCTAGACCCCCATAAATATGTTGACTAGAAATTTACTTGTAAGGCTCTTCTCTGCTTTCCCTCTCAGAACTTGATTTTTCTTCATGGTCTTATGTTTTATGAAAGTCAAAAAAAAAAACTTGATTTTTTTTTTTAATCCTTTGGTTGTTGTGAAGGTCATTTTGCAGGAATGTCCTTTGAGAGAGGAATGTTGCTTTTAAAAGCCACAAGATATATTGAATTTGGGACTCATTTTAATTTCCATAGAAAAGTTGTTTGGAAGACCACACTTAGATTTTTTTTTTTCTGTTCAAGCTGCTATCTCTGCTGCTATTTCAGAATGAAGACATTATGCATAGGTTTTCTAAAAATTCCTGAATTGTTGTAGATATTGAGACAAGGTACTTGGTATTATAGAAACTGAAGGGTTAAAACAGAAATATATGTATTTATGTGACATCTGGTCTAGTGCTTCAGTGTAGAATTGCATCTTATTCCATTATTCATGAATTATATAAAGCTGTTGTCCCTTTTAGGAAGTTTAGGAAGCAGGTAAGTGGCTATTTTTCTTAATGAAATAATTTCTTTCCCCACTCTTTTTTGTTGTGGGCCTTTGATTACGAAAATTATGTTTTAAATAGATGAACTAAAATAAAAGCAAAGTGTATATGAATCATGCCGCGGGGCCCCCCCCCACCCACACACACACACACACAAAATGCGGTGTCTTTGATTGTTGCTTCTCTGTTTTCAGTTCCTTTTGATTTGGTGATTGACTTCCTCTTCCTGCCCTGGTTGCTGTAGTGGGGCTTTTTTGCAGGATGTCGCTCATCTTATCTCAGTATATTATGTATTTTGTTCTCTCCTCTCTTTCTTTCTCCATCATCTTAATTTCATTATTTAATTTCTCTATTTGACCTTTGCTGGCATCTAAAAATTGTATATCTATTTCTACCATTGTATTGGTATGTTCATTTCGCATTCCCTAATTCAATGCTGAGCACACTATCGGTTCTCAGTGAATATTTTTGAAATGAAATTCTGTAGGTTGACTCAACTTTCAGTTACCCCCAGTGAATTTTCTATGGGGCCATTTCTGCCCACTGACAGTTTGAATTACTATTCTGCATTGGCACATGTGTATATGTGTCGTGTTTTTCATTTTTATTTTTTAACTCAGCAAGCACTATTTTTGTTTGTCCTGCCTTCTTTCATTCTTCCCCCTTTCTCTCCCCTAGTCCTCCCCTCTTTCCTATCATCATCATCATCATCATCATTATTATTATTATTACTATTATTCAATAGAGCCTTATTGTTTACTCTTCTTACTTAGACTTGAGTGGAAAGTGACAGGAGGGCGAGGTTTGTCCCTGAACTGCTTCCAGCACCCACACTGGTTGGTGGACTGGCTTTCAGCATCTGCCCAGTGTCAGTCACATGAACTTGCCAAGGCATCTTCTTCTCCTGCCCTTCCGTATGCATTGTAGAAGTATGACGTATATATTTTTAAACTTACATGATAATAAACTTTACAGAATACATTTATATACATTCATGAGGAAATATACAGAATATATTACCTCAAGTACATATTTCAGTACAAATAGAACATTGATACCCATGTTTGGCTTTATTTGTTCCCTGTAAGTAGATAATTTCAGAAAAAGAAGAATTAATACTTCTTTTCCTTGCTCTCCTTATTTCTTCAGTGAGTAGAGCAACTAAATATTTGAAGAGTAGATAAAGAACAGATTCTAAATAATTTTACAGTGCAGTTTTGTGATTGAAATGGGGTAGTATATTGTAAGTATTGTAGTAACACAGTATAGGAGTCTAGTCGCATTTTTTTGGTTTTATTTTGTTACTATCATCATCACTCTTTTCAATATCTGCTTTTCTTTTTTCCTCTTATATAATATTTGTATCTCTCTTATACAAAATATTTTTTTAAAAAATTGATTTATTTATTTATTGAATCACCATGGGAAAGGTTACAAAGCTTTCAGGTTTAGGTCTCAGTCATGCAAATATCAAGCACATTTCCCTTTACCAAAACTTATTTTTTACCATGAAGAACCCCAATAAAACCCCACCCCCCACCCCTCCCAGTCCCTGTGGGGCAGATGAATTCTAGTTAACACTCTATCTGCTTTGATTAGATTCATTGTTTCAATAAAAGATTCACCACTATTATTTAGAGCTTACCCCCCCCCCCCCCCCCCGAATCAGACATGCTGAGAAAGCATTGTGAAGTGATTTGCTTTCTACAGCTGGGTTCAAGAATTATTTGTTGGTTTTGGTTTTCTGCTATTTTACTTATTGACCCTGGAAGTATTTCTACTGAAAGTCAGATAGTTAAGACACAAGGCTCCCATGCGGCCGCCATCTTTCTTTCCAGAGAGGAGAAGGCGACTGGGGCAACACCCTTTCCCCTCCGGACAGACCTTATGGCCTGGATTAACGCCTAGTCCGTTCACTTTTCTGCTCCAAGCTGCCGGGTTCTGCATTAAGTCCTTGTGCTTCTGGGGCCATGGCCATGCTGGAGAGCCGCTCACGGGGGGCAACTGGTGACCTCGGTAGGGCGTGAAGGATGGACCGGAACGCCCCCCTTCCCATGAGGTTTTAGTCGCCCCCACACCCCCGGCTCATACCTGCTGTCCACAAGGCTCCCATGCGGCCGCCATCTTTCTATACAAAACATTTTAAACTTCAAGTAAAACTTTTAGCAAATTTTAATATCTATTTTTTAAAAATCTCAATGTGGGCAGTCTGGTGACGTGGCTCAGTGGTAAAATGCATACCTTTCATTCAGGAGACCTGGGTTTGACCCCCAACAGCACACGAAATAGATTATACATGTATTTTTTTTATTGAATCACTGTGAGATAATTATAAAAGTTGTTAATGATTGGGTTTCAGTCATACAATATACGTGTATTTTTAAATATTTAAATTTTATATAACACTTGATAAAACTTATTTTAGTTTCATTGATTTAAATGTTTTAAATGGCTAAATTGAGGTTAAAAGTGTTCAATACTACATTTTATAACAGTTTAATCACATTGACCTAAATTTATGTTTGTTTTTAGCATTCCATATTGGAAGAAGAGATCACTATAGATGAAGAAAATGCCTTTGTTTAGTAAATCCCAGAAAAATCCAGCAGAAATTGTGAAAACTCTGAAAGATAATATGGCCATTTTGGAAAAACAAGACAAAAAGACAGACAAGGTATGAGCTAAAACAATAGCATTATTATTAAAATACATATATTTTAAGACCAAAACCAATGTAAAAGCTTGACAAAGAACTTTAAATATGGTTTGTGGTGTACACATAGGGTCTCTGTAAATACATTTAAAGTTACTCCAGTCTTCTGTAAGTGTAATTCTGTCTGTTGTCTTAAATTCTTAGGTCTGCTCACTCTGACCAAACTTGGACCTCTAGACAGCTCAGAATCTCTAAGGGGTTATGCTGATACTCGATCTTAGATTTGTAGGAAGTGGAAAAAGTTTTTAAGAATCAGCTAATATTTTCTTCTACAGTGCAATTTAATTTTAACACTGACTACAGGACCTACTAAAGAGGAATTTGGGGTTTTTTTTTTTTTTAGCTATTTCTGCAAAGGGATGTTGAATCCTACATTTTCAATTTACCTCCAAGTGACTATTTTATTGAAAGAGACAAGAGTCCTATAAAATAGAGGCCCCTGAGTTGAAACTATCCATCTGTCCCAGTGGATATAATATGATCTCGTGTTCTTATTTGGAAGTAGAAATGTGATTTTTCTTCTACATCTTATAATAGATGTAGAAATATGTTCTTAAACTTTTATTTTGAGGTACCATGATTTTCAGCTGTGTCCATTCTAGATTTTCATGCATACAATGTTATAGCACCGATCTCACCACCATTGTCAACTTCCATCCACCAGTGTCCCCAGGTCCCCATTCCCTGGCAGCCTCCTTCAGTTAAAAAAAAAAATGGTATTAAGGTACCGTGATTCACAGTTCTTCATTGTTGAGTTTCAAGCATACAGTGCTCCGACACGGTCCCATCATCAGTATCGAATTCCCTCCACCAATTCCCATGTTCCCCCCCACCCCCCAACCTGCCTCCTTGGCAGGCACACTTTTCAGGTTGGTTGTTGTAGTTTGGAATCTCCTGCTTTCGGCGTGGGTTCTGATATACAGTTGGTTCACATGTACAGATATACCACAGTTCTACCCCACCAATGTGCCTGATGCCACTGCCCTTGTTACCTCCTATCCATCTCTTATTCCCCAGCCCCCCCCCCAATTTGTATTTAGTACTAGGAGTAAACTAGGATGCATTTCAAGAATGTTCATAGTATATTTGTTTGTAATAATCCCTCAGTGTAAACCCAAATGTCCCCCCAATGGCAGAGGCGATAAAGCATTTGTTGTCCATCTATCAGTGGAAGTTAAACAGCTGGTACCTAAAAAATAGATAAAATTTAAAAATTATTTTTAATTTGAGTGGAGGGGGCACCCAGCAATCCTTCAGGCACTGCTAGGTGTGGCCTAAAAGCAGCAGCATGGGTAAATCAAGGTGCAATATTGAGTTTTGGAAAAGGGTACTGGTGTTCTATTTCAAAATTAGTAAAACTAAATGATGTTGCTTTGGAAGGCAAAAGTACAAAAGAAAAATAGAGGGACCAGAGTGCTAGTACAGAGGGCGAGCCGTTTGCCTTGCATGTGGCTGACGTGGAATTGATTCCTTGCGCCTCATATTGTTTTTTGACCACTGCTAGGAAGGGATCCCTAAGCACAGAGCCAGTGGTAAGCCCTGAGCATCACCTAGTGTGGCCCCCAAACAAACAAAAAAACAAAACTATTGTCAACAAAATTTTAAAAGAATTTACTATGGGGACTGGAGTGATAGTACAGAGGTTAAGGCATGTGCTAACCTGGATGTAGGATCCCCAGCATCCTACATGGTCCCCTGAGCACCACCAGAAGGGACCCCTGAGTACAGAGCTGGGAGGAAGCCTTTAGCAAAATGAGGTGTGCCCCTCACTCCCCATCCCCCCAGGTTTTTTTTTTTTTTTAACTTTTAATGACCCAGAGAATCCAAGTGACTTCTTGAATGATGTTTCCTTGCATCCTGGTGCATTGTGTGAGAGTATCTCTTGAGTTTATACCTAGGAATAAAATATCAGAGTATTAATACAGGCACATTTTCATATATTACAAATAGTAGTACTAAACTGGTTTCCCAAACAGACGCCAATTTATTCTCTTGTAGTTTATACACAATTTGTATTCCGTGAAAACAATGTCCCCTTCTCTATTTTCCTCCCCTTCCTTTTCCTCTTCCTCTTCCCTTTTCTTCTTCCTCTTTGTTTCCTTTCTTCCTCTAATCTTCTCCCCTCCTCTCTTTTCCTCTCCTTCCTTTTCTCTTCTCTCCTCCTCTCTTCCTCATGCTTCTGCTTTCTCTCCTCCCTCTCTTCCCCTCTAGTCTTTTTCTCCTGTTCCCCACACGCTGCCAACTGTGTTTTTGTAATGAGTCCCTAACATTTTTAAAAAGAAAAAAAGAAAACATCCACTTGATACTTCATTGTTTCTGTGTCTTTTTCTTTCTTATTTTTCTTTTTAGGGCAGTATTCTTTGGCCATTTATAAACTGAGCCTAAGAAATGTTTCTTTGTTGATAATCTTACTTTTTTATTTTTTTAAATTTTTTTATTAGTGAAACACCATGAGGTACAGTTGTAGACTTACAAACTTTCGTGCTTGGGTTTCAGTTGTACAATGATCAAGTACCCACCCCTCCACCAGTGCCCATTCTCCACCACCAATGATCCTAGTAGCCCTCCCACCCACCCCCCCCATCCCACCTCTGTGGCAGGGCATTCCCTTTTGCTCACTCTTTCCTTCAGGGTCTCGTAGTTTGCAGTAGAGGTATTGAGTGGCCATCGTGTTCGGTCTATAGTCTACTTTCAGCACTCATCTGGCATCCCGAGCGAGTCCTCCAAACATCCTTTACTTGGTGTTCCCTTCTTTATCCAAGCTGCCTTTTCCCCCAGCAAGTGCTGCCCGCTTCCAAGCCCTGGAGCAGACCTCCTGGTACTTATCTCAACTATTCTTGGGTGTTCAGATAGTCTTACATTTTTTATTTCTCTTAACTGTTAGCGTGTGTTTTCGTCATTAGGCTTCCGAAGAAGTGTCGAAATCACTGCAAGCAATGAAAGAAATTCTGTGCGGTACAAATGAGAAGGAGCCTCCGACAGAGGTGGTCGCTCAGCTGGCGCAAGAGCTGTACAACAGTGGGCTGCTGGTGACCCTCATCGCCGACCTCCAGCTGATAGACTTTGAGGTAAACTGTCTATAAACACAGGACGCCTTTTCCTTGGTTGTTCAGTATATGGGGCTCAGTATTGGAATTGTAGGTTTTTTAAAAATCAATGTTCATATTTCATTTAAACAGTTTAATTTTTCTGAGATGTGAAAATCACTTTATTAATTTTTTTTAAAGGTAGGTATCCTGTGGGCTGGAGCGATAGCACAGTGGTAGGGCGTTAGCCTGCCTGGCCAAGCTAGGTTTTATTCCTCCGCCCCCCTCAGAGAGCCCGGCAAGCTACCGAGAGTATCTCGCCCACATGGCAAAGCCTGGGAAGCTACCTGTAACGTATTCAATATGCCAAACACAGTAACAGTAAGTCTCAAAAAAATGGAGACATTACTGGACCCGCTCGAGCAAATCGATGAACAACGGGAGGACAGTGTTTGTTTTTTGACAGGTATCCTATAGTTAAGCCTTGCACAGCTAGGTAGCAAAGTTAGTGACTAATAATGGAGCATTTGCTGAGTGCTAAAATTTCATAAAATGCAGTCATTCATAGCATTTATTCACTTGTTTGTTTGTTTGGGAGCCTTACCTTGTGGTGCAGAAGGGCTACTTTTGTCCCTCTACTTGGGGGCTAGGCGGTGGGGTGTCACTGTTGGTAGTGTTAGGGATCATGAAATGTCATAGGGCACACATATGCAAATATGTTCAGTCTACTGAGTCATTTTTCTGGACCCTCATCTAAGTCTTATAGCATGCTGTATAAGACTGGACAGAGAGCTCAGTGGGCTCTGCACACAGGCCCAGGTTCAACACTGGAGCGGGAAAATCCTTCAGGCACTGCTAGGTGTGGCCCAAAAAAGCAAACCAAATCAAAACAAAACCCAATTTTATATGGTCAGTACTACTTTTAACATCATTTTGTAGATGAAGAAACTGAGTTCAGAGTGGCATGGTAGTTTGCTCAAAATCATTTGGTACTAAGACAGCTTACGCCGAAAGTCAAAATCAGCATCTCCTAAGCCTGTTCTTTTTAACTAATGTACTACATTGATATTTTAAGATGTTAAAAGATAGTATTACAAGCTATTTATCTCATTTTGAAAGTAATTATAACCAATCTACCTAAATCATCCTGTTAATCGTCGATTGCCTCGAGCAGGCCCCAGTAACGTCTCTTTCATCCTAGCCCTGAGATTATATTCAAGGCTTTTTAGGAGAATGAGACCCATCATTGTTACTGGTATTTGGCATATTTGGTGCGCCACGGGGAGTTTGCCAGACTCTGCCCTGTGGGCAGGCTATATTCGATAGCCTGCAAGTTTTTCTACTTAATAATAAATAAAACACAAAACAGAAAAAAAAGTGCTAGATGTGTATGCGCGTTTTATTTTTTGTTGTATATCCAACTTAGATCATAACTTTTCCTGTGAAAGTGTGTGTGTAAGGCCAGGTTGGGCTTTGACTATTTCAGGGATGGAAGGTGGCTTGAGTTTGTTTATTGTTGGGTTCCATCAGAGTTTTAAATCTATGAGCTCAGCGCTTAAGTCTCCTGGGTTCTCAGAGATAGAGGAGAATGCAGTTTTCTGTAATGAACTTGCAGTTTGCTTGCAGTTTGTCCAGAAGAAGTGAAAGGAAATTCATTACAGTGATTAGACCAGATAGATGAGGACCCTGGGGATCTGTGGAAACACTAGCCAGGGGCTCTGAGAGGCTGCGATGGGGCAGGTGCAGGGCTGCCTGGAAGGAGGCACTGGGACGCCAGAAGGCTTTTCCAGAATTGAGTCACCTATGCCAAGGGAAGCATCTCTGCAGAGCAGAGCAGGGCTTGGAAAGGCCAGTCTTTGCCTTCCTCTCAGTGATGCTTTTTCTTTATTTTCTACCCTTCTTTTATCCCTTCTTTGTTTTTCCTCCCTTTTAATGTATTTTTAAAAGTTTTTCTTAAATTAACTTTTAATTTGGGGGGGCTGGAGCGATAGCACAGTGGGTAGAAGATTTGTCTTGCACACGGCTGACCCAGGTTCGAGTCGCAGCATCCCATATGGTCCCCCGGAGCACCACCAGGAGTAATTCCTGAGCGGAGAGCCAGTATAACCCAAAAAGCAAAAAAAAAAAAAAATTAAATAAAAAATTATTTTTAATTTGGGTGGAGGAGGCGCCCAGCAATGCTTAAGGAAACTGGGTGCCGTTTACATCAATAATCAGCCAACTAGAACAGTGCTCTGACCCCATGAGATGATGCTCCTCTGACCCAGAGTGCTGGAATCCCAGGGCTGGACCCCCACACTGCTCGGAATCATGCTGTGCTGGGGACCAAACTCAGGGTCGTGATAGCACAAAGCATGTGCTCCAGCCCTTTGAGCTATTTTACTGGCCCCGAGCTGTTTAGTTTTGTTATAATGTTTGATATTTGTCATTTTAATTTTTTTAGATTCAGTGGGTTAGTAACCTGAGTAGGAAAAAAGACTCCCTTTGTTTTGTTTATGGGATTTATCTAATGAATCTAATGTTTTATTCTTCTCCCTGAAAGAAGCCAGGTTCAATCTCCTAAAGAGCAATGCATTAGGCTGTTGTGCTCATTGATTGTTACTATGATACAATTCATAACCTGATTTACAGTTGAGTAATGGGAGGAATAAGAGCTTGGATGGTTTTGTTTTTAAGAACCAGGCAAATGGGGGTGGGAGGGATATTATCCATGGTGGTGGAAAATGGGCACTGGTGGAGGGATGGGTATCTGATCATTGTATAATTGAAACCAAAGCACAAAAAATTGTAAATCTACAACTTTAAAAAAAATAAAATAAAATAAAGGGAAAAAAAAAAAAAAAAAAAAAAAAAGAACCAGGCAAGGATGTTGTTAGGTTCAGGGGCCGAAGAAGTCTTGAGAAGCCACAGAATAGCACAAGTTCAAAATGCGTTTCAGGGGCTCAAGAGATAGTACAACCTTTAGGTAACTTGCTCGGCACACAGAGCTCCTGGATTCAATCCCCAGGAACCCATATGGTCCCCTGAGCACAGAGCCAAGACTCAACCCTAAGCACCACTGGGTGTAGCTCCAAACAAACAAAAAATGCTTTTCAGAATCAAGAAGTTGCCAGAGGGAAACTTCGGGGACCTTCCAACTTTGCTTAATATTGGCAAGATAATGAAAAAGTAGTAGTAGGAAAAAGTTTTTCTTATTTTATATGGTATACTGAAAGTATTCCTGCTGTATTATCTTTCTGGCCCACAACTTCATCTCTTAAGCCTAGCATACCCATGTAGGCTAGTAGTACCTCAGTTGCATCACACAGAGCGCCACTCTTCCTCAACTCTTTTTTTTTGTTGTTGTTGTTGTTTGGTTTTTTTGGGTTTTTTTTTTTTTTTTTTGCTTTTTGGGTCATACCCAGCGATGCACAGGGGTTACTCCTGGTTCATGCACTCAGGAATTACTCCTGGCCGTGTTCAGGGGACCATATGGGATGCTGGGAATCGAACCCGGGTCGAGTGCAAGGCAAACACCCTACCCACTGTGCTATCACTCCAGCCCCCTCTTCCTCAACTCTTGATTCAGAGGTCCCTTTGCTGATAGACAGTATTTGAGTACTATGACTATTTCCCATACCTATCAGTTGGTTGATTAAATGAATGAATAAATGTAGGAATGATAATGAGATCACAGCAAGGTAAGAATTGCGGATTACACCTAAGGGAGGTGTCCTCAGACCCAGCAGTAAGCCCCTTTTCTTTAAGAATCAGTACATTGTTTAGAAGATAATTAACTCAACGGTAATGATAATATCATCCCAGTAAGCGAATAGCTTTTCTTGAGGCTTTGAAAAGCACAGCAGTCATTTGACTAATATTTCTGGTATGTTTTAATAACGGGAAGGAAAAAATATTATTTTAGGGATGGGCTGTGGCGTTCGCACTTAACCTAAGAGTTTCTGACAGAGGAAAAAGGTGAACTTCTATTTATAAGACACTGGATGGGCCTTTTAATTAGCTCTGAAAGGTTAGTTCTGTAGGAAGTATCTGGAAGGAAAAGTCTGAAAGAAAGAATTTGGATTTCTTTTGCAGAGCAAAGTTACAGAAATGTGAGAAATGCCCTTTTTTTTTGGCTGAGCTTGATAGGAGTTGGATATAGAGGGGAGAAGGGAGGATGGTGTTGAGTGGGGGAGAAAGAATGCTCCAGAACCATTGCACAGGGAGGGCCTTTAGGAAGGTGATCGGGAAGGATGAGGAACAGTAGAGATCTAGAAAATTCAGTTTGAAGTCATTTCTGCATTGGGATAGAATTACCTTTTGTTACCCTGAACTTCGGATAAAATGACTCTGTTCTTGTAGTATATGTTGAGTGAGGGAGAAGTGGTGGTTTTCTACGTTTGAAATAAACAGGATGCTGAGAAAATAGCTAGTTGCTGGAGGCAACCCCGTGAACAGGGTGTGAGAGGAGCCAAGAGCTGGAATTTGGCATCCAGAGTTAGCAAGGATCCAAGTTATTGCCTCCAGTTGGGTAATGGAGTGATAGGGAACTCTGGCCCACTTCTCCTTCAGGAAAGTGACTCATTGAAGCTGGTACTCTGTTGGTTCTTGTGCGAATAAGGACTGGTTAGAAGGTAGATGTAGGGTTAATATTATTTAAAAAGAAAATCTCATTACTTCATAGCCATCAATTTTTACCTAATCCTATAAGCCTTAAAATTGCTGACGGAAAAGAGCTGCTGCAATATATTATTATGAGGTTAAAAAAAAAAGTTGTGGTTGAGATTTTAAGACTTCTGATTTCTTGGGCACAGTATCAAACTCAAAGCCTGTGTTTTTTGAGGTCTGGCTGCTGTTCAAGACTCAGCTTTAGATTCTTTGATGTTTTGAAATGCAATGTGATAAGAGATCAAAGGATGAGAATTTATTGCGTGTGAGGAGTTGATGCTTTGATTTTAAAGAGCAGGTGTGCCTTCTAGAACTAAGGTGGATGCAAAGGCAACTGTCAGGCTCAATTAGAAAGTAACCCGAAGAAGCAAAAACTTTCTATTGTGACCAATTAA